CGCACGCGCGCTACACTGAAGGAATCAGCGTGTCCTCCCTGGCCGAGTGGCCCGGGTAACCCGCTGAACCTCCTTCGTGCTAGGGATTGGGGCTTGCAATTATTCCCCATGAACGAGGAATTCCCAGTAAGCGCGAGTCATAAGCTCGCGTTGATTACGTCCCTGCCCTTTGTACACACCGCCCGTCGCTACTACCGATTGAATGATTTAGTGAGGTCTTCGGACTGGTACGCGGTGGGCGTTTCGGCGTCGTCGATGTTGCCGGAAAGATGACCAAACTTGATCATTTAGAGGAAGTAAAAGGTCGTAACAAGGTTTCCGTAGGTGAACCTGCGGAAGGATCATTACAGTGCTTTAATTTTTGTCTTTGACAAAAAAAAGTCTTTCGTATAAAGAGTAATATATTTCAACACGATACTTTATTTACTCTTATACATTTACTATTCATTGAACGAATTTGCCTTTTTATTATAGGCGATGATGTAGCGACGTTCGAAAAGATAATAAGGAACATTTATAGTAAGATCGAGCGCACACACGTGTATATTACCCCGAACGAGGTGTTGTTGTTTGTGTGTAACACACAACCTCTTCCCTCGTCTCGTCGTGTACGCGAGTGCGTATCTTTTTATAAATCTTATTGAAAATCTTTTCGTCGTCCCACCATCATATAATACGTATAATTTTCGAACGCACCACGCCCGTATAAGCGCTTCTAGTACGCGCGAGCGCGCGCTCGGGGTACGTTCCGACACGCGTATATCGCATAGACATAATATTGGTTGTATGCGTATGCGTATGTACACACGTGTCTCTACGACGTCGTCGTCTGTACGGATGGCGATATTTTCGACGGGTAACTCTATATGGGAGAAGAACGGAGATATGTCGTCGTGTCCGCACGACTCATTTCCTTCTTTTCCGGTTGTTTTTAAAGATATTCGCCCGTTAGTCGAAATTTCTACGCCATACGAAAAGACGGTACAAGAGGACGACACGTGTTGTACGCTTAATACATACATATATATTCATGTTATGTACAACTCTGTGTAGTGTTATTTGTACCCCTTGCACACGTATGCTATAGAAGCGCGATACGGATAGAATGCGCGCGTACACGAGAGACTTCGTCGGCACGCTCGTTTGTTATAAACGCGCAAAAATAATTTTGCGCGTTTGCCGCGCAAAATACACGAAGTCTCCGTGAGAAATGCGCGCTTTCTTTTTTTTTATATATTTTCTTTAATACATTAGCCATTATCATAACAATAAAGACGTATCGATAATATTTTATATATAGAGATCGTCTAATTAAAAAAACGATTACCCTGAACGGTGAATCACTTGGCTCGTGGGTCGATGAAGAACGCAGCTAATTGCGCGTCAACTTGTGAACTGCAGGACACATGAACATCGACATTCGAACGCACATTGCGGTCCTCGGATACTGTTCCCGGACCACTCCTGGCTGAGGGTCGTATCAATTTAAAAGACTGCTCGGTTTCCTCTCCGATCTCTGTTGCGTCGTCGTATTATCTCTTTATCCGAGAGACGACGACGACGACGACGACATGAGAGAGGAGAATGAAACGTCGGAGCGTGTTGGATGTAGACGCGGCGGTACGACGCGACGACGCTAGTTATTATATATTTATTTATGTAATATCGTAACGTCGTCGTCTTTGTCGTCGTCGCGGCATCTCAAAACGCGAAAGCGACGATTCGTTCGTCATACGAACGAATCGTAAACTCACACATAGAACGAACAAGCGCGCTGTACGGATAAAAATCGTAATAGCACTACATATATATATATATTATATATATATGTATATATGCTGTGTCGTTACGCGTTTCGAACTTGCGCTGCGCGATCGTCGTGTCCGAGAGAGAAATTATTTTTTTCGAGATAACGACGTCTGATCGCATATACGCGCTAAACACTAGAGAACGCTTTCGACTAGTAGTAGTATAGCAGCAGCAGCTATACGATTTAGTATTAGCGATCGCGTGTGACATATATATCTGTGTGTGGTTGTGTTGTATGTGTTAACCGACCTCAGAGCAGGTGAGACTACCCGAATTTAAGCATATTACTAAGCGGAGGAAAAGAAACTAACTAGGATTCCCTCAGTAGCTGCGAGCGAACAGGGAAAAGCCCAGCACCGAATCCCGCGGTCGATATCGGGCGCCGGGAAATGTGGTGTTAGGGAGGATCCGTTTATCCCGAGGTCGCGCGGCGAGTCCAAGTCCTTCTTGAACGGGGCCACAGCCATAGAGGGTGCCAGGCCCGTAGTGGCCGCTGCCGATCGCGGGAGGATCTCTCCTCAGAGTCGGGTTGCTTGAGAGTGCAGCCCTAAGTGGGTGGTAAACTCCATCTAAGGCTAAATATGACCACGAGACCGATAGCGAACAATACCGGAGTGGAGGGAAAGTTGAAAAGCACTTTGAAGAGAGAGTTCAAGAGTACGTGAAACCGTTCAGGGGTAAACCTGAGAAACCCGAAAGGTCGAAAGGGGAAATTCATTCGCGTTTCGGCCGTCGGCGATGAGCGGTCGCGCGACGGACGGCGTTCGCGCGTCGTCCGCGCCTTTCGCTTTTCGATCCGGCGTCGAACGCGTGCACTTTTCCCCTAGTAGGACGTCGCGATCCGTTGGGTGTCGGTCTACGGCTCGCGGTGGAGTCCGTGTACGATCGTTTCGGCGATTCGTGCTCGAACCCGCGATGTTCCGGCCGACTCGCTCGACGGTATACAGATGGCGCGAGGCCGCTACTTCTTCAATTAGCGTCCGACCCACGACAAGCACGTTCGATGCTAAGACGGCGATCGGACCTAGCGCCCGGTTCCGTCCCCGGACGACTGTTGGTCGTGCGGATTTCTCGGACAGACCTCGTTTGAAACGCCGATCTGCGACGCTATAGCTTTGGGTAATTTCAGGACCCGTCTTGAAACACGGACCAAGGAGTCTAGCATGTGCGCGAGTCATTGGGACATAACTAAACCTAAAGGCGCAATGAAAGTAAAGATCCGCCTAGCGCGGATTTAGGGAAGATGGGCGGCACGTCTATAAAGCGGCCGCTCCGCACTCCCGGGGCGTCTCGTTCTCATTACGAGAAGAGGCGCACCAAGAGCGTACACGCTGGGACCCGAAAGATGGTGAACTATGCCTGGTCAGGACGAAGTCAGGGGAAACCCTGATGGAGGTCCGTAGCGATTCTGACGTGCAAATCGATCGTCGGAACTGGGTATAGGGGCGAAAGACTAATCGAACCATCTAGTAGCTGGTTCCCTCCGAAGTTTCCCTCAGGATAGCTGGCGCTCGTCTGTGACGAGTTTCATCCGGTAAAGCGAATGATTAGAGGCATTGGGGTCGAAACGACCTCAACCTATTCTCAAACTTTAAATGGGTGAGATCTCCGGCTTGCTCGAACTAATGAAGCTGCGAGAATCGAATCAGAGTGCCAAGTGGGCCATTTTTGGTAAGCAGAACTGGCGCTGTGGGATGAACCAAACGTCGAGTTAAAGCGCCTAAATCGACGCTTATGGGATACCATGAAAGGCGTTGGTAACTTAAGACAGCAGGACGGTGGCCATGGAAGTCGGAATCCGCCAAGGAGTGTGTAACAACTCACCTGCCGAAGTTACTAGCCCTGAAAATGGATGGCGCTGAAGCGTCGTGCTTATACTCGGCCGTCAGCGGCATGTGCGGTCTCGATCCGCGTAAAAACGGATCGGCCATGAAGCTCTGACGAGTAGGAGGGTCGCGGCGGTGCGCGCAGAAGGGCTGGCCGTGAGGCCGTCTGGAGCCGCCGTCGGTGCAGATCTTGGTGGTAGTAGCAAATACTCCAGCGAGGCCCTGGAGGACTGACGTGGAGAAGGGTTTCGTGTGAACAGCCGTTGCACACGAGTCAGTCGATCCTAAGCCCTAGGCGAAAGCCGATGTTGATGTGGCGTTGTTTTATAAATATATGTATGTATGTGTGTATATATAAAGAACACGCCCGTCGGGCGAAAGGGAATTCGGTTCCTATTCCGAAACCCGGCAGCGGAACCGTACAATAGTCGGGCCCTCGCAAGAGAGTTCGTCGGGGTAACCCAAAAAGACCCGAAGACGCCGTCGGGAGACCAGGGAAGAGTTTTCTTTTCTGCATAAGCATTCGAGTTCCATGGAATCCTCTAGCAGGGAGATATGGTTTGGAATGCGAAGAGCACCGCAGTTGCAGCGGTGTCCTGGTCTTCCCCTCGGACCTTGAAAATTCGGGAGAGGGCCACGTGGAGGTGTCGCGCCGGTTCGTACCCATATCCGCAGCAGGTCTCCAAGGTGAAGAGCCTCTAGTCGATAGAATAATGTAGGTAAGGGAAGTCGGCAAATTGGATCCGTAACTTCGGGATAAGGATTGGCTCTGAGGATCGGGGCGTGTCGGGCTTGGCGAGGAAGCGGGTCGCGGCTGACGTGCCGGGCCTGGGCGAGGTGAAACGTTCTGTCGTATGCGTTCGCGCGTGTGCGGTAGGATTGCGGATCCGAACTCGGTACCGTGCCTTGGCCTCCCGCGGAACCGTCTTGCTGCGAGGCCCAGAGTGCGCTCGCAAGGGCGTTCTGGTGTCCTCTTCGGCCGCCATTCAACGGTCAGCTCAGAACTGGCACGGACCGGGGGAATCCGACTGTCTAATTAAAACAAAGCATTGAGATGGCCCCTGCGGGTGTTGACTCAATGTGATTTCTGCCCAGTGCTCTGAATGTCAACGTGAAGAAATTCAAGCAAGCGCGGGTAAACGGCGGGAGTAACTATGACTCTCGACTCTCGAGTCTTGAGCAAGGAAGCATTTACGCAGACCATTTTTTACAAGTACCAGCTGTGTTGTAGGCTGCGCTAACGTCTTTTTCAAGATTGTTAGCGTTTCTTGGTGACATCGGTTTGTGTATTTGTGGAGCTTAAGTCTCACCCGGGAAGGTTCCGGATTTCCTCCAAATCCAACCGAGAGTCGGGCCCGTGTCATTATGTCACGGTGGCTAATTCCCGGATCGAACGCACGCACCGCGCCCCACAAGAACGGTGGCGCGAGATCGACCAAGGCGCCGGTTCTCGGCGCCGGTCTTACTAACAACGGGCCAGATTTACACCTGGCCCAACCCGCATCGAGCAAACGCGGGAGTGAGGACAAGGGGAGGACAGACATATCAAAGGCTAAGCCCGTCAGCGGCGCCAAGAATGCAATACTGGCGCCAAGTCCTCCCCAAACTATTGCACGACGTGTGACACAGCTTTTACGTCGGCAGTGCAGCTAAGAACGCACAAGATGGCAAGAGCATGCGAAGACAGGCTCCAATGTAAGCACTGTCCAATGAGATTTGGCAGTTACAAGTCCACCCGACAGCACGAGCGGAGGGCACACCCGGTGGAATACGCCGGTGAGATCGAGAAGATGCGCGGTCCTCTGCCAGAACCAGAGATCTTGCAGATCATGGCGAGGATCGAAGCCCGTGAACCAGCCGGGCGAGTTAATAAGTGCATGGCTGAAGCCACAGATCTCACCGTTGACCAGGTGCGGTTCAGGAGGAGGAAGCCCGAGTATCAGAGATATCTCGAGCTCGCCCGGAAGCAATTCCGGGCCTCTGGTACTCGGATTTTACCAGCAAAATCTTCTTCCCCCGCCGCATCTACTAGCGGATCCTCCGTGGTGTGCCAGACGCCCGTGCCCGAGGGAAAGGACAAACTTAAACAACCAGCCTCCTGCGAAAACGAGCCTCTTTCGCAGGACATGGAGTCTCCTCTGCTTCAGAAGGTATCAGCAAGGCAGAAGCGGATGAGGGAGAGTTGCTCACCGCACGACCTCAACCCCGCCAAGAGGAAGACGGCTGATAGGGACCGATGTCGGCAGGAATACGAGCTCTATTAGTACTAGCTCTAAGGCCACCGGTTCCAACGGTGCGCCAAAAAATGCCCGAGATGGCAAGAGGAAGAGGAGAGAGAGCGACTCTCCAATTCAATCAAAAATTGTTCAAACCCAGAACTGTGGTCGCCAGTCCTAGCGACCAACTTGGCATGGAACCTGCGGCGTTCTAAGTACCCGTATCGCTGCGTGAGAACGCAGCTCACATTCCGGGTCTGGTACCTCTTCCGGTCGTAATACGACCGCGGCTCCCCATGCTCCTGAGGCAGAGCTGCCTCCGTTTCCGCTGAGAGATCTCGCACCAAAGGTGAACATAACTCTACTTTGTAGAGTACCTGCGAGATGCTCGAAGCGGATTCAATCTTCCTGAGCATGGGGAGATTCCGTCGCGTCATTGATATGGCGCTTCTCGGCTCCACAGAACAACTGACGGTCGCTCTCGACCGTTGGGTGGAGTCGAGATTTTCATCCAACAAACGGACCAAGAACAATCGCACGATAGGTGCCAGTAAACCGGTAGGCACTACAATCAGGCCAAATGCGGCAGACGTCAAGCGCGCGGCCGAGTACAAGAAGGCGCAGGACCTCTATGCCAAGGACAGATCTGGCCTCGCAGAACGCGTGCTCAAAGGGCAGGGCATACACGAGTCAATCGAACTCCCTTCCTTGGCGGAAGTGAAGCGTTATATGGCGGAATCTGGGAGTCCTTACCCACTGGGGACGACGAACCGATCGCGGACCCCAAAGTAGCAGAACGCTCTGCGTTCTATCCGATCACACCTGATGACGTCAGCAAATGGAAGGCCAACTGGCAGAATTCTGCACCCGGCCCAGATGGAATAACAGTAGCTGACGTCAAAAAGATGAGTAAACAACGAGTTGAGCGTGGTATTATACCACCATCTTTGGGAGTAAAATCCACCCAACAACGTGGAAACAAAGCCGACAATACTGGTGCCCAAGGATGGTGATAGACGGAGGGCCGAAAACCATAGACCCATTACCATCGGGTCTGCACCGCTTCGGCTCCTTCACAGGATCGTTCAGGGCCGTATTGGAGCAGCGATCCAGCTCAGCCATCATCAGAGAGGCTTTGTAAAGATGGACGGCACGCTGGCTAACGTGCTTATTCTGGACCACTATATCGGGTCGCGGAAGGATGCCGGGAAGAGCTATAACGTTCTCTCGGTAGACCTCCGCAAAGCTTTTGATAGTGTCCAGCATGCCTCCATCTTGAGAGGCCTCCGGAGGGTTGGGCTGGAAGAGGGGATAGTGGAATATGTGGCGAGCACCCTCGCCGATAGTATCACCACCATAAAGGTTGGCAATGAAATTTCTCGCCCTATTCATATCCGGCGGGGCGTTAAACAGGGCGACCCACTATCCCCCTTGCTCTTCAATATAGTCGTGGACGAACTCCTTGAAGCACTGAACCGCGACTGGGCTGGCGGTTCGCTCAACTCCGAGATGAGGATTGCCGCTATGGGGTTTGCGGACGATATCGTTGTGCTAGCGGATAGGATTATCGACTTGCCTCTGATGCTGGGTGAGGTAGAGTCGTTTGCAACCAGCAGGGGTTTAGCTTTGAATGCGAAGAAGTGCGTCGCATTATGTGCCGTCACCTCTTCGGGAGATAAGCGACCCCTGCCCGTGACTAGGGCCTTTCTTAGTGTTGGCGGTGAGAAGATACCGCAGATTAACGTACTTTCCACTTTCAAGTATCTCGGGCACAATTATGGCGCTACTGGTATTAATAAGGCCAATCCTAACCTTCAGGCCTGGCTGAGGAACATAGAGACCGCGCCGTTGAAGCCAGATCAGAAGCTTACGCTTCTGAATCAATATCTAATCCCCAAATTACAATACGGCCTCCAGTCTCCAGGGATCTCGGGGGGGGTGCTCAAGGATGTTGATCGCCATGTGCGGGGAGCCGTAAAACGCTTTTTGCACATGGCTACTCACACCTCTGATGCGGCCATCCACGCGAAAATTACAGATGGAGGATTGGGCATCCCGGAGCTTAGGAGAGTGGTGCCTAGATCCTTCTTAAAAGGATCACTAAGCTCCTTTTGGAGACTGGCGACGACGTGGTTTCATGTGTTCTTCAGTCAGACCGAAGTCTGGCGTTACTTCGCCGAATTCAAAACTTGGCGGGCGATGTCCCAGCGGAGCAACTCTGGCGTGAGGCAATTGCCTCGGGACCATCCACTGCTGGCATGCAGTATGCCTCCGAAGACGCCGCTTCTAGGAGCTGGCTCCGGAACCGCCCTTCAGGCTGGTCCGGAAGAGACTTTGTTCGAGCCGTGCATTTAAGATCGAATAACCTTCCCACCAACGGCCTGCCATATAAACCTGCAGATCTAGGGATGTGCAGAAACCAAGGGTGCAAGAATGTGGAAACTCTTAGCCACATTCTGCAAAAGTGCGATCTTGTTCATGAAGAGCGAGTGCGACGCCACAATGAAGTGGCCAACAAGATCGCCACCCATGCCAGATCGAAATGGCA